ATTTAAAAAGAGCAGGCTACAGGTTATAGTACCACACGAATTAACGCCAAAAAAATTAATTATCCAAATTACTAGAGTTTCTAACAAAGTTTAAACCGAGTTATTGCGGCTGATGAAATATGGATTAAATACGAGAACATTTAAAGGAAGCGATTATGGCCAACGTTATAGGTGACCCTTAACAATCAATTTCAAATTGTTAATTGTACGTATGTTGTATGGTACGGGCTAATGCTATGGGTCCCAATTCATGCCACATACAGTTTTTATGATTCTGAACAAATTAATGGAACTTGGTTGACAAGTTTTGATACATCTCGGACCCAGAGGGAACCTCAGCTGAATTTATGAATTTATTAATTTTATAATTGCTACGATACCACTACAGTACAAACGTACTATTACAACTATATCATTCATTCAAATGTTTGTTTCAAATTTAAAGTTAAAGTTTCTTTAGTGTCGTTTAACAATGTTTCCCAAAATATCAGTTGTAATTTTAGCTTTAACGTTTAGTTCAAATAATTTTTACTTCATTCTTTGTTACCAATTTGCCAGGTAAACGTTCTTTTTCAAACTCAAAACTCATATTTTTTTTGTAATTTTTAATCTTTTCTTATATTTTTTTTTGTGGTACTCCCAAGATCACTGAGCCCTGTAGTGTCTGCCTCTTTTGTCTCTATAGTAAACGCTTCAATGCATTTTAAAATAGCCTCATATTTACTCTTATCACGTCTGGCGGCTACATAAAAACAGCAATAAAATTATAAGAAACATTTTCCACAACTTTATTATGCATTAGGGCAGGACGATTTTACACTCGTCAAATATTTAATTAATGTCAAAGCAAATATCACTCATACGCACCCAAGTCTCATAAATTCTTCATATTTATTTAAACATAAGAAAACTTGAAGTGAAAAGTAAAATTCAACAAGTAAAATGGCAATTTACAATTACCCAGAATTCCCTGAAGACATTTTTAAACGCATGAAAGCGTCGTAGAATAAAGTTTTTATGGGATCCTTTCACATTATCCTCACATTCAGGATACTTTATGTGCTCTGCACTCTGTACCTTTTCTGTCATACCAAATGAAGTGAGTGTAGTATTTGTTCAGGACCGAAAAAGTGAAAGGTGATAAGAAGAAAGAAGAAAGAAAGATTTTAACTTTCTAAATATAACGAAGAAAGAAAGTAAAAGTAACAAAAATTAATGAAAGTCAAACAATGCGGAATTTTTCAGGCCACAGCAAATATGGCAGCCCAAAGAGAAGAAAATTGTTTGCTCTGAAGAAATAAATATTGTCGCAAATGTTTGCTGCCAACTCGGCTGTTTGTTGTTGTTTGTTTTGTCTTTAGCAATTCAATGTAACTAAAAATTTCTTTCTTATGTGAATTCCGTATTGCCAATTTTATTTGCACAATTGAGGTGTCCTGGGAAATTATTCAATGAAACAAGTTAAAGTATCTCTGAAAGGAAAGGAAAATTGTAGTTTTTCATTTTTCATTCGATATAACTGAAGCCTGAGAGTCATTTCAAAATTTTAAAAAATAATTGTTATCATTTCAATGATGATAAAATCAATTGAATTGTAACTATTATTGCATATATGCAAATTCCTAAAGCTCTGTTTTATTTGTGAAATATCCTTTTTTATTATTATTTATGTATGAGTTTAAGTAAAAGTAGCAATTCATACGTTTCATATAAAATGCATTTACTAAAAATTGTAAATGATCATTAAAAATTCAGAGCCATGTTCATTTTACCAAAATATTGTACCTGGTAAAAACCATTATGGTTTCTGTGTGAAGCTTCATTCAAGCGAAACTAAAATTGGCCTCAAATATTTACGGTGAATTGAGCAAATGCTCATGTGGAGGCTTAAAAATGAGTTTATGAATAATATATGCTATTATTTGCATTTATAGGAAATTGAGAAGGATTCTTTGTTTGTCGGAGGACAAAAACTGAAAAATGTCTAAAAGTCTATTACCTTACGCCGTATTAAACTAATATTGCATGTGATTACTTAGGAAGAGATTACCGAAGAAAGTACCCTTCGTAGTTTGTTAAGGACTAATTTGTTAGTATTAATTAATAAACAATTTTTGATTATTTTAAACCTTAAGCTGTTGCGGTCATATTTTACTTAATCACAAATAAAAACAATAATTTATTTTGTTTATTATTCGTTGGTTAGTTTTTCATGAGTTTTCTTTATTATTAATCGACTTAAAAGAGAAAAGCTCTATTGTTAACATATAATATCTTTACTGCTGTATGTATGTATATTTAAGTTTGAAATTCTAGGGCGAAGGACCTAGAAGTCGAATTCTTTATTCTTAGTTAACTTAAAAATTAATTTTAATGTTAAATCATAAAAAAATACAAAAATTAATAAATAAGTTTCAAATCGAGAAATAATATGACTTCGAAAATATTTGTAGAAAATTTTTTTCATAAAATTAAGAAAAATAAATAAAAGATTCAGTTGGAGTTGAAGTTGAGAGTTGGAGTGGAGAAAGTTGGAGAAAAAGTTTTTTATATAAAAATTTAATTTGAGCAACATTCGGGTTTTTTCTTACTTACAGTATATTGTCCTTCAAATGTAGTACATCCTTCTTAAGGGTATTTTAGTGTAAGTCCTGGATATTTTAGTGGATTGTGGTGCTAATAATACAATATACAAACCTTCAAAAAAAGTTTTCCTCTACGATTGTTGTTGTTTCTCGATTAAGGAATCTTTGCCTAAAGTTTAGGTTCTTCAAAATCAAACGCTTTGTATATAACATATATCCTTGTATTTAAGGAAATTATAACCTTCAATACATATACATATATAATATGTCAGACATAGAATAGTGATAGGTTTCGATCACTATATATGCAACATAAACCATTTTTCTGAAACAAATCATGAATATATTTAGAAACTAAATATATAGTAAGGGATTTAAAATGTATAGGACTCTATATTAAATATAGCTACCTCAAGCTCAAATCAATAAAAATTTCAAATCCTACAAAGGCACCTGAAGTGAGTGAGCATTATATCCGCTCTAATTAAATTAATTTTAATTCTGATTGACAATAATTACACTCAGAATAATATGCTCTAAGCACATACTAGTTACATTAATCTGAACATTTTCCTTGAAAAATTTTAACTCATGTGGTTAAAAAGATATAAAAATGAACATGTGGTATGGTTGAACCTACACGTGGTATAGTTGAACCAACATGATGCGTCGAGTAAGAATATTTTGACCTGAGATTTAGTTAAGATTTTGTTAAATCAACCAAATTATTTTTTTGAGTATAGGAATCGCAATAGAAACAAAATGTATTACTATTTTGATTAGTTAAAATAATTTAGAAATGATACTAAATTATTAGTAAGACGTTAAAGCAATGAAAAACTTTATGTCCACATTTTTTATTTAAAATTATATATATTTTGGGCTCATCTCATAACTATTTCCAATAGGACCTAATTTTTATTAATTAAACTAATTATTCTCTGACCACGTTTCCACTGGTCTCATTTAGGCTCCCCTGCTGGTAAGAGGTTACAATATTTCCGAAGTAGGCATGTCTGTCGTTAGACGCGAGTATAATACTGGCGCTATACCAACACTGTATTGAAGTGTGCATGGTAGTAAGTGACACGGTACCTGCGACACCCGACCAGGGGTGTAAATCCGGTACTACGGGGGTCAGTGCCCGCAGCATCGGCTGTGATGGTTAAGTATTGGTTTGTAGAGTCGTAGTGCCTGTGGTTGATAGCCAAACTTACGTGAAAAGAATGATCGGTATTTGTTTATCAGATCAGCAGGGGTATTGGTAGGCCTCACTCACCACCAAGGAGAAACTATACCCAAACGTATAGTTTGGGGATTTATTAGCGAAAAATGTTGATAATAACTCTTAAAAATAAATTTTCCACATGGAAAATTTTCAAAATGTGAATTAGTTTTCACAAGTTTATATGTAAAATAAAAACAACCAAGCTATTTCAGATTTATAAATTAGCTTATGCCAATGCAAATGGCCAAATCTTAGTTTCATTATCATAAGTAGTTTAAGCTGCAGTGGGAACATGATATTACTTTGTATTGCTGGTAATTAGCAACATCGGGGTCTTATATTTTCATAAATGCTCAACCTTTTCTCTGAGGCTGTTATTTAAAAAGACAGTTGTATTATATACAAATAAGAGCAATGCAGTATTTACGTATAAGATGATATTTATTTGTTCGTGACTTAAATTATAAAAAATATTCACACTTCATTAAATTTCGATCTGAAAAACAATAATTTTAATATAGATAAAAATAATTATACTTAATAGACTTACCTTCATAATACTGTAAAAATTGTATATAATTGAGGTTATCCATACTTGCTAGTTGACATATTTTCTTCATCCATTAAAGGCAGTTATTTTAGTTAAAATGAAAGTCATAAATTTTTTTCAAATTACGATGAGAACTTTTATGTCATAATATAATAGTAAGATATGATATCATAATATTATTATAACATTATAATAATATTACAAAATGATATTATTATATTATAATAATATTTTGAGAAGCAGTATAAACTACACATAATTATTTTAGTTTCATTTAAACAAAAATGGATTTTGCATTTACGTGAAACGTTTAGAGAGACGACTAGTTCTTATCATCTTCGGCCAGTTTAGCCCAATTTTCTTTAACCACTTTCATTGAAACGCTTTGGTCCATTTGAGGCAATGAATTCTTTTTATATGGGTATTGTTTTCGCATAAGTACCAGAGGCTTCAACTCATCAATGGAATATAGGCCAAGCAGCACCTTATCGTTCAGTATCTTGCCTTTATAGATTAGGAGTTGTTGGCTCGGATGATAATCTGTTGCACTGCGAACATATAACAACCTCTTCAATTCGAATACAGTATAATTTGGATTTGCTCGAACAATAAAACTTTTCTGGTCAAGAGTTTTAATTGTTAAATTCATACTGAATAGTGAATATTATACGTAAGCCAAAACTTTAAGGATTATTTGATTTGTTTATCTATTTGCTTGAAACTAACACTACATGATGTGAAAAAAATTTTTAATGAAATTTTAATTATTAAAAGAAAGTAAATAATTTCAAAGCTGTCTAAGTTTGTACACCTAAGTTAATTATTTAGACAATATGTATGGAATACGTCACAGAAATATATTCAGAGCTACCTTTAATATTTTGTGTGATATTCAGTTTGAATTTAAATTCAGGTAACATTATAAGCCACTTAATTATGGAGCAATGGCTTTCATATTTCTTTAAAAAGCAAAATATATTGTAAATATTAGTAAATTCAAATGGAGTCAAATTAATTTTCCTTTCTTTAAGAAAAGGCATATTTTTGCAGAGTCGTTTGTTTCAGGAATACATTAACCTAATGAAAAGCGCGTGCTCTGTGCTTCAACAGTTGAAATGAAAATAAATCATTTGGCATTTTCCTAAAATGCTTAAAAAATTTTCAAAGCTGCTTTTATATTCTGAGTTACATTCCCTGTTGTAATTTTTTACACGTCCTTTTTTATA